TACAAACAATTAAACAATAAGCATGTGTAATTAAGTAATAATCTTTAATATTAATGAAAATTATAGTAATAATATTTTCAAATAAATAACGGTTATGCTGTTTGATTATAAACATATTTCATGCACATATGCAATACAAAAATGTATATGTGTATATATGGAAAAGTATAAATTTGTTTGTACCTACATTTTTCCTAAATGCGCTACGAGTATATTAGTATTGTATATTTTTTTTATCTTTTATAATTTATATTCTTTTAAATGCATATTTGATGTTAATGTGAACATATAGTTATTTTATGCATCTAGACGTTTAGTGTACTTTGAGTAATTAATTTTATAAATTAAAATACATTTATCTCAGCTTTGAACTTTTTTTATTTACATATACTTTATGAATCTTACAATTTATCCAAAATTAGTAATCAATTATTTAAATTATTGACACACTGCTGCGTTTAATATGATCATAAATTAAATCAAATATGAAAATTAACTGTAATAATTATATTCATAAGTAAATTTGGTATTTTTCTATAACAACATACAATTCTTTTTGTATTCCTTCCGAAATAATGATTACAAATTAAATTAGGATCATCGGTTAATGATTGATTTAATTAATTGATTTTACGAAAAGCCAATATAAATAAATCTAACTATAACAATTATAACTACGGTTGAAAACTATATATTATGACTTAAAAAGAATATAATAGCATTTATTTACGGTTTTCAGTTCTTCCCAGTTAGTAAATTTTACTCGATTAAAATTAAAACTATCTGTATTTAAATCATAATTCTAATGTGAGAAAAGAATTTGTAAAATTGATAAAATTCGTTTTCATTAGTTATTTCAAATATATATTGAGATGTTATAGGATGAACACCAGACTAATGAGTAATGATTATATTATTATATTTCGGATTTACAGTATATATGACAATAAAGTTCACACAAAAGATAACATAAGAAATAAATATCAGTCATTAATTAAAGTATTTAAATAACGTTTGGTTCTGATTGCTTAAAATCGGTTAAGATGGCGAAAGAATATTGGAAAACCGTTAATATTGCGTTTGAATTGTGTAACTTGTGGAAGATAGTTGGGTTTCAGTAATAAGAGATTTGGTCACGCCCTACTGCTGCATTCATATAAAACGACAGGAAGAAGGAGGCTCTCGAACTTCATTCATCCCCTGAGTAAAAAAAGACTTATATGGATATAAAGTGATATCATACCAAAAGATTTTTCAACGTCTTCTTGATGGGAAACCCCGCCAAGAAGACACTGAAATCCGGTTTTATTACTATTATGTTTGAAAGATGTTTGTTTTGTTCAATCTTCGTCATTATACAAGAGGCGTTTCTGGCTCGTACGTGACACCGTGGAAATCCGTTGCTAACCGTTACGATTTGACTAGTTCTCATCCCAGAAAATTGTTGACAGTTAAGGCGTTTTTTTATTATTATTATCATTTTGAATATAATTAGACTAAAGGAAATATCCGTTCGTATTATAATATAATACGAACGGATATTTCCTATTATTATTTATTTTTAAAAAATATATAATACTTTGTTAATGTATTTGATGAAGTATTATATGTCTTTTAGCTTACGATAGTGTCTTGAAACAAGTAATATAGATATTTGATAGAATTAGTCACTTTTACACTGATTATAAGATTCCATAAATTTAATGTATAACTATTATAATATTTTCAAACTTTTTTCCTTTACCCTTCAAGTGTTTAAATGTATAATTTTATAGATCTATGTTATTTCAATACATCACTTACCTATCAAAATTTTAAAATTCAACTTGAAGAATAAATAACAACCACCTGATAATGTAAAAAAAAATAATAATAATAGCTTTGTAAATTAAAATGTTTAATATTCATAAATTACTTTCTACTGATAATTATATTAATATAAATGCAAAACTTTCATAGTAGAGGATTGCTACAAATACAAGATGTTATAATTATATTTTAAATCTTATATTAAATAAAATAAAATATTTTGAACAGAGAGTGTATAAATAATTTATATAATTTTAATATATAATATTTATATAATTTATAATAACTATTGTACAGCTAATATAATAAACTCTAATCACCTTGAAAAATTGCTCCGTGATTTATTTTGTGGATTTAGATAACGACCGCACAACGATTACAAAACATCCTTAGATTAACTCACCTAAGATCAGTCTCTATATAAATGGGGGAATCTGCCGTTATTCAAGTACTGTTTGTACAATGGGTCGGATAAGCTGCACAAAAAAAAAAAATAATGATAATAATAACCAAATAAACCATCGTATCAACTTTTCAAAGAGATAATTTTAAAGAATATTTCATTATTAATTTAAAAGAGTCAATCATATGGAAAATTGTAAGATTACAATGAAAAAAAGGTTCCTACCAGTAAGAATGAAATAGAATAATACCGCTACGAATCTATTGATAAATTCAAGTTTAGTTACTCTAACGTTTCTAACCATAATATTTTTCTTTACAAATATGATAGGTGTCTAATTATTCGCAATGTTCGTATTATTTTATCTTACCAATCTTTGTCATTTGTGTTTAGATATCTTTAAAATATTAATGAAATGTAAAACTTTTTTGTCTTTATGTTCTCGGAAATTATTTTATATTAGAAACACAAATTTATTTAAATAAAAATTCAGCTATTCAATAAATATATTTTTTAGTACGTAAATAAACACAAGGTACTCAGTATAATTTGCTTCTAAATTTTAAAAATAATCAAATAAATATATATATATATATATATATATTTTTAAATAATAATAAGGCATGAAAAAAATGTCATTTATTTCTTTTTATTTTCACGAAAAAGTAATTGCAGTTAATTTCTCTTTAACAATTATAGTCACACTTTTTTTGAATTTTATTTGTTAAAAATCGTAATTAAATTTATAAAAGTATAATAAAAGCGTGTTTGAATCACATCAGATAGAAATATTCCAAAAATCATGTAAATACACATGCGTCACGTCTCATCGCTCTAGTCTCTCAGTCAACTACTTTTTACATAATTTTTTTACCATACTTGTATCATCGATACGGAAGATGTGACATTCGTGATCAGAAAACTGCAATGTTTCATCTATTTGACATTGGTTTTAATGTCACTATTAGTAGTTTATTGTTAGCAAATTGCTCTACACGTATTTTCAATTGCCTGTTTGATATGTTAAATTCCTGTACATTCCATTTTCACTATTATAAAATCTTAAAAAATGTTATTTTGTTAGCATTTTAATTGTAAGCATTTCCGTAGACTTAAAGTTGGCCTTGTAATTTTGTGTCTTAACAATTTATTTTGATGCAATAATAGTTGTCTTCTGAACATTGTTTTAATATACGAGTTATCAGAACAGTACAAAAATAAATCTTAATGTAGAATAGAAAAGTTTTTATTGAAAAATTTTCTTGTCATTATTTTTAAGTATACCTACCTATATACTAATTCATAGTACGAATATGTATAATTACGAACTTGTACTTATACATTAAGTCAAAACATACGGAAAAAAAATTATAAACGTTATTATGGAGCCAATATCAAGGTGAAATATATTTATATGAATACATATAAATACTCTAAACTGAATAATTATCAATTTATCAAACGGCACGTTTATTATTTCCTTTATTCTATTCAGTTTGAGTATTATGATAATTATTATTGCAATCTGAATTAAAAATGTTTCGGTGAGAAAATAAAAAAGCAATATAACGAGTATTACATATCTATTAACATTAGGTACTAAATTAATCAATTATGTCTTCTAAAACTAATTAATTGCTTAATTACTAATACATACCTGTACATAAATACCTACCTATACGGCCATACTTGTATACAATAACTATTTCAATCAAGTTATAAATATCTTACGAGAACACAAATATTTTTTAATTTCTACATTTTATTGAAAGTATGTATACCGGTGCTGAATATCAGTTAACGCTCCCTAATTACCCTAATGGTGATCATCAATGCTATATTTGTCACTCGTCAGAGCTAAAAAAAGCCTCATACCATAATTAGATTCATATAAATGTATTTTAAAATATTAATACCTACATAGGATATAGATTATAGATACTAGTTTACTTCAGGAATTGGTATATATACCCATATAAATTTGTTTCCTTTTGCATCGACGCCCTCAGGGTGCATTTAACTCTTGTCCCGTGTTTATTTTTTGGTTTACGAATTGCCGTACGTGCACTGAAGAAGAGTATATTATTATTGTAATATATGGTATAGTATTTAAACTGCAAAATCGAGATCCGCTGTACAAACGTCCGCCGTCCCCCAACGGACAACATAATATACAAAAAGAGACCTACATAGGACTAATTGCCTTCTGGTTATCCTCGGGCTGGGTTTATCTAATGTATACATCGCCGCTATAATATTTATTGTGTTTTTATCATCTGCCGCCAGCCCCAGTACATTATTTGTCGGAGATCCCTTTCGGTTCGACGAACACGTCCATCACTGTGGACTGTGTGTATGTGTGTGTATGTGTGCGTGTGCGTGCCCTTGTATTTTCTTTCTTTTTTTTTTTTTTTTTTTTTTTGTCTGCTTTATGACTTTTATCACGCGCATATACTGTCTACAAAGAGAAAAATAAAAAAAATATATAACGCACGAACAACATTTTGAAACCACCCCCGACTGACGGCTGATCCCTTGCAGTCCGTACCACCGGTTGTGGCAACGTTCCGACCAATGGTAGTACCGGGACGGACCACATATGACACGCCTATAGTTCAGCGGGGTGTCTGTAGCCGCCGCCGCAGTCACAGGGACGTATTTGTCGGGATCGAGTTGACATTTTGATCTCGATCGTCACGAATAGTGCGTCCGTCGGATTGTCGTTGTTTATTTTGTTGTTGTTATTGTTTTTTCTTAAAATTTTTCTATTCCTATTACACGGATCACTATGCAAAACTTTACAGAACACATGTCCGATACCACAACCAAGCCAACGAATAGTAAGTTAAGATTTTTTTCTTATCACAAGTCAATGTCTTGATCTACCGTTTAAGTCTTTTTCGTAACCATTCATTTTGATAACTATTAAACTTTTTCTAATACATTTCGTTTAATTATATATGTACGAATATATTATATGTATTATATATATATATATATATATATATATATATATATATATATATATATAACTCGTAAGTTATTTCATTAGTAATTTATTTGTCAAAGAAGTAGTAAAAGTATTTTAAATTCTATAATCCGGCGTACTATAGTTGATTCTTTATTAGTAAATTATTAACGATCATTAAAACTTCATTTAGTTTTTGATTAATTTATGAATAATTTAAATCAGTAAAATGTGTTTTAATTCTCGATTAATTGCTGTATAGTTTAACTCTTGTCATACATAAAATGTGTTTTAGGCTTAACGCGTAATACTATCTATAATAATATTTTTATTTTTTTGTTTTAAATAGCATTTTAATAAATAGTTTTAATGTAAAATTATTAATTTTCCTAATAACAACTAAATTATATATTCAATTAATAGTATAATACAATCTTTAATTAAATATACCTTTGCTTTATTATAAGATATTAACATAATTAACATAAATGATTGTATTTATTTTACTCTATGAAAACATATAGTTCAATTAATATTTGGTACTAACTAGAGAATTTAATTACAATTTATATCGAAAACATATAAAATTGTTACAAGGCCTAGTAAATATAATTAGTTCTTAAAATATATTTAACGTAGAAGCTAAAAATAGTACAAATATTTTAAAGAAGAATACAATAATACATTCAATTTGTCTTATTTATTTAAGTATAATTTAATTCAAATAATAAAATAATAAAATATTAAATTGAAATTAAAAATTATTAAATTATTAATACTCGTAAATTAATATATAAATAAATAAAAAAATAGTATATATAATAATAAACAAATAAATTCTTAACCTAGAGTATCATTATATTCGTAAATTGCGACCGGTTTCGAATTAAAAATTCACTGTCAGGTATTTACAAAGTTAATAAAATCGCGATTTTATTTATTATTCTTCAGATAAAAATTATATATTCAACTTTTATGGGTCTTAAATCTAAAACAAAAAACATAATATTAGTTAAAAATATTACACTTAATTGTTATTAAATTTCAAATTAAACGTTTTTCATAGCCTTTTAAGTTAATCAATAATATAATGTATTTAATATTCTACTTTATATTTTTAATATAATGATAATTTTAAAAAAAATATTTATATATGGGTATGATATATATTCCGTTTCATTTAATCTGTAAAATAATCTGCTATTTTCCAGACATAGTTAATTTAGTAAATGCATAAAATATCATTAAACAAAATATTTTTATATTTAATGTAGATTACAATTAAAATTGCATTACAATATGTTATGGGTCAATATTTCTGGAAAACATGTTATGAAATTATGATTGCTTAATGTAATACAATATGCGTTTAGGAAAATTTTCTTAATTCAATATTATTTAATAGAAATTTTATTGATTTCATGCTATGCTGATGTTGAGTGTTATACGTGTATTCTACACATAGCTTGTAAATTAACAATAACTTATTAGAAATAATCTAATAATCTTCTAGGACCGATAAAAATATTTCATTTCCACAAGACCTAATTTTATAAAAGTTCTTCGTATACATTGTTAGTAGAGGCTAAAAGAATTGATATTTACTAATATATGATAAGAACGGATTAATATTAGCTCTATTTGAATCTCGTTAGTAAATCCTTTTTTTTATAATACTTACATAAGTAACAATTGTGTCAATTGCAAAAAACATAATATTTTTCCCATTTTTACACACAATTAGAGCGGTCAATAGTGACTTTTAATACTAAATTTCTATAATTAGGTAATAAAAGAACATTTTCTATTGATGCTAACGTAGATGTTTTACTAATTGGATTTAATTTATAACCAATAGAATGGCTTATAATGGCTTACAATAGATATAGATATTTTAAAAGTGAATGACTAATATAATAATTTAAAATTTATAAACCCAGAACATAATTCTCATAATGGCTTATAATGGCTTATAGTTGATATAGATAGTTTAAAAGTGAATGACTAATATAATCATTTAAAATCTATAAACCGGGACCATAATTTTTACACAGCATATGGGAATTTATATGTAACAAAATGTACGCATATTTGGCTTTTTGAATTTAATTCATAAGACTTTGATTGTAGATACCACTAAAAATAACATTTAAATTATTATTATAATTTATTTATTTTTTTTTTTTATTTACAAAAACCAGTATTTAGATTTTCGAATACTATTTTAATTAAAACAATTTAAATGTATGATGCAATTGTTTGTAATTAATTCATTTAACATGCAAGAAAAAAAATATAAATATTTGAATATTGTAAAATGTTAAAAATATGTAGTTTGGGAAATCGATACAGTTAATAACCGTCTGCGAAGATTTAACGTAAGCTTGAGCATTATTACATTAAATATGAGTATAATATACATTCACATCGACATGGATTGATAATTAAGGTAATGAAGTGAATGTGTGCGGATCACCCCACAGCATAATCGATCATATGACCAATTGACGGTCTGGGAAAAACAAAAGCAAATTGTTTTAATACAACGCATACGTATTGGTAAAGGAGCACTTAGAGTTAAATAACAAATTGATGATAATTGTACTATCTGACCATATGTCCATAAAGCACGTAATCCGCTCGCCCTCGCGCTGTACACCATCGGTTCACACACTTACCTGTCGTTACTGTTGTGATGATGTGCAGTTTTCACATCAGTACCTGTGTATATATGTGTGTGTATGTGTGTGTGTGTGTGTGAGTGTTTATACATTTAGTAACGTGTATGTTTTTTCCTGACCGAATAAAAATGCATTTCGATGGGTAGTACACGCAGTGACAGATGACACCGGCTGACGGTGCACTAATTACGCTCGTTTGCCCCATTGTTTGTTGCGTAGTTATACATATCTGTAGGGGGTGTGTTTCAATAACGCACTTGTTTCGACCATAATTTCACGTGATATATGGGAATGGGGCGGCAGGGAGGGTTAACGGTACAGTCACGTAAATAAGAGGCGTTGCACGGACTTCCGGACCTGTTGTTTCCTGCGTCTTCCCATATTATATCGTGCGGGCACATAGCTACGCTACCGGAACCGTCAGATCAAAACACGATCGTAGACCACCCTGTTTAGTCGACGGGGGTGGCGAATAATTCGGAAGTAGTCAGGTGTAGTTGTTTTTTCTCGGTCCATCTGTCCCGATGATTGTTTGCTCGTTATTAATTATTGTGGGTCATCATCATCAATTATCGATACGTAGTTCCCATGATGACGACGATGATGAGTTATTCCCACGGAAAATGACAATGTTTCGACGACCTAGAGCAATTTTACTTATTTTTTTTTTCGTTCTGTTTTTTTTAGGCAGAATCCTGTACGATATACCGTGTAAAGTATGTAAAGACTTTTCGTCCGGCAAACATTACGGTATATACGCGTGCGACGGGTGTGCGGGTTTTTTCAAAGTGAGTAACACATACATTTGCCGTAGGAGACAAATGTTAAAAAAAATGTGTGTGTATTAATTTTCAATGACTTTTAAAGAGATCTATTCGACGCAACAGACAATACATTTGCAAATCAAAATCAGAAGGTGCGTGCCCGGTGGACAAAACCCACCGGAATCAATGTCGAGCTTGTAGACTTCGTAAATGTATGCTCTCGGGCATGAACAAAGATGGTTAGTAAAAAAAAATATGTTTTAATTTTTAAGTAAAATAATTATGACTCGTCATTTTTTTTTTTTTTTTATTAATATTTAAATCGTTACAGCTGTTCAACACGAACGTGGCCCTAGAACATCGACGGTACGCCGACAACTCCAGGGTTTGTGCTATTCCAAAGATAGATCGGCTAGTAATTCTCCACCGTTGGACCTGACGCCTAAAAGATCTCCAGAATGTTCAACTACTTGTTCGACCCCGCCCAGTAGATATATCCCCGAGTCACATTTATATCTGTCAGCTTTTAGACCGCAGGTAAATCATCGTCGGAATTAAAATAAATTACAGTGACGTATTTATAAATACTCGTATATACTATTATGTTGTACGTCATGATTAGATGTGTATTTTAAATTGCCATATATTTCTCAGATGTCAATAATGCCAAGATTTTTAAACACCATGAGGCTCACCCAAGCTGTTTACGAAACCGCCGCATCAATTTTGGTGACAGTTTCGACGGTCAAAAGTTTTCCGGCCTTAATGACTTTACCTTTTGTTGACCAGGTAATATCAATTAATATTTACTATTAAATATAAAATCTATGTATGACTTATGCATGTTTTTTTTTTTCAATCGTTTAAAGTTTGAACTGCTCCGAGAGAGCTGGCATGAACTGTTCATTTTAACAGCAGCCCAATATTTTTCGGACACTGACATCTTTTTACTGCTCGAAGAACATAGATCCAACTTTGGATCTTTAGATATTGAGGAACAAACCACATTGTTCAAGAACACGCTAACCACCGTTAAACATCGGCAAGTCGATCCGATTGAACAGTATTTGCTGAACGAAATCATATTGCTCAAAGCAGGTAAAATATTTATACATTTACAGCATGCATCGGTATTTAAGGTGTTAATGGTATTTTACGTTTGTGGACAGAATCGGTCAAAGACCGAGGTTGTTCAGAAAACACGGAGACTATTTTGGACGGGTTATCCGTGAAAAGTAAAGAAGCCCTTAGACGACACGTGCATCATGTTCACTTGGCTAGACCAGATGCCCGTTATGAAGAGTTGATCGAAATATTGCCTTGCATTCGAGCTGTACCAAAAAACACCGTGATCGAGTTGTTCTTTCGTCGGACCATCGGCCAAACTCCTATCGAACCATTCGTGTGTGGCACGTACACCAATTACCTCCAAACTGCCCCGCACTTGCAGACAATCATTAGCAAGGCAAAAATATGCCATTGCTTACAGTGAACGTATGTAAATTATACTATATATTATACATCCATACAAAAGTGATATTGTACATATGAATATTGAAAATAAAATTATTGTTTAGTTCATACACATAATGCAGGGTTTGAAAAAAATTATTATGTTTATATAAAACTATATTGTATCGGTTTAAGCACACATTACACGAATAATTATTAATATAGTACCTATCAATTATTATTATACCTACCAAGCATTATTACTATTATAAGAATATATTTATTTTTTTTAAACTTTGATTGAATTATTTTTCTTAAATATATATTATAAATCCTAAAACTGGTTGGTTTTGTCAAAATATGAAAAAAATAGTACCTCCGGATGTGTGGGAACGGCGGCATTGAGTCTAGTTAAAATTCAAGATTTTTCTCTATTATTGTTTTTTTTTTTCTGAGTGCCACTACACTCGAAAAGCATAATGCGGGTGATTAACAATTGCGATGGCTCCACGGGATGTCAAGTATTGTTTAAAACAGGAACGTCCCGAGGTCACATAGGAAAACAAGTTGAATCGATGTTTATAAAAAAATAATGCACTCGTTTATTGATAATAAAAGAATATATGTGCATACATTAACAAAATAAATTGCTCTCAAACATTTACTTATGATGTTTTGAGTACGTTGAATCATAAATGCACCGGAGTCTGAAGAGTGCACTTAATCAGATTAAAAACACACATAATAAATATTTCGTAGTTATTAATGTTCAATAGACAGGTTTAATTTTTCAACATAATATTAATGCGGACAAATTAATATGTTTTACTTACACGGCCAATCCTTTGGATAAGTATTATTCTCGAACTAATATGATTCAGATGAAGCATTTATTATATGTATATATATTATTCGATATTCAAATGCGTCGAAAACTGATACGATTATAGTAGGAAGGCAAAAATGTCCTAAAACGATTAGTCTTGCCTTCCAAACGATACATAATATCCTATAGAGACTTGAGACGGTGTTGAAATACGCACGTGCAATCGTTTTACGTTGAACCAGAAGTTTCCTCTGATCACAGTATGCTGTAAATAAATCAAAACTTTCTCCTTGCACCACCAAAATTGTTGAGTATTTTTACAATGATTGACGTTGAAAATATCGGATGACCTACGTTAGTCATCCGATATACGTTTTTTCACGTCAAAGGTCGTTGGCGTATTGATTGTCGTCGCGCGGTTCGTTTGCCGTATCATCAACGGCAGACTCGGTAACGGTCCCAGACCGTCGGATCACCGCCAACGGCTGAGTCTCTGAACCTTTTCGCACCCTACGGCCGCGGTACAGTTGGTCCAATACGTCGTGCGGCTCTTGGTCCTCGTCGACCACCAACGAGTCATCCCACAGCATCGCGACCAACGTCTGTTTGTCCACGGCCGACGAAACGCTCACCAACCGTTCCAAGTACCGCTGCAGATCGGTCGGCAATTGTCCGTCCACCACAGGCGCGTATTTCCGGACCGGCGGCTGGTCCGGAAGCCCGAGTACGCTCCGGTTGCTCATGGCCAGCACCGACTGCACGAAAACGTAGATTTCGTCTAACTCGTCCGTTTCCGCGGATCGGATCACGTGAAACGCGGTCATTGTCAGCATCAACGGGAACAACGGGCGCGCGTTCATTTCGGCAACGTTTGAAATTACGTTTCTCGACGTTGGTCAACAATGGTCGTCGACACGGACCAGATGGATCAGCTCGGAGATTACTGATTACCGACCGAAAGTTAACACCGCGTAAACGGTTATCAACGTGATATTACTCGTACATTGGCGAAGCAAAAGTTACAAAGCATGCACTTGACTGTTGATTATTGAAAAAAAAACAAAAAACCGTTAATGACATAGCGATTGAACACTGTTGTTTCCGAGGATTATTGTTTAGAGTTAAAACGTGCGGAAAAATGGTAAGGCTAGATAAACGATAAACAGATGTTTGTTAGTTTAATAAATAAATTTTTCTCTTGAACGTAAGATATCAGGATCAATCGAATAAAAGTGCGAATGTGAACATTGTACCGATATGATTTGTTCTATGAACAAACGGCTTAAACACGATTTTAAAAAGAGACGGATCAAAGATGAAAATATGACCTAGACATTTTCGGTACCTCGACTTTGATCTCATAGAAGTGCCGTAAATGATTAGTGATGACATTTTTATGCACCGGTATTATGTCAATAACTAATACTGATATTAAATTATAACATCGAATTATCTCTGATTTTTTTTTATTCGGGAGATTGGTTATTTATCATTTTTATTGTGAAGAGTCGACTTATTTGTAGCACTGATGGCCGCGATTAAAGGAAATCTATAAGCTAATATTTTATATTGTAATGTATTAACAATACTATTTGTACTTATTGTTAGTGATGATCAAAATTGGTCTTGGTCTTGCGATCTCGCAAGACTCGTGCTGCAAGACCAAGACGGTACTGGTTTAGCAAAATCAAGACCAAGATTAGGTTTGCAAGAACAAAACTAAACCAATATCGAAGAAGCTGCTAGGTATCTAAATTTCATTAACTAATAATTTATAACGAAAATAATACGAAATTATTTGTATTGTTATTAAACTTGATCATTATTCGAGGAAATGACGAATTATTGAAAAAATTATTACAAATAAATGGAATTAATATTACGAAATAACATAATATAGTTGTTTTACACTTATCAATTACTGAAAAATTATATGTTTTTCCCAAAATTGATGAAAAAGTTGAAAGTTGTCTTGCTCATAGAAAAATGTATGACTTATGTCCATAATACACTTCTACTTTGAATCGAATATACTAGTAATTGCTGGAAATCATTACGGACTACGGTAGATATAATTTTGATTGGAAATACGTTTTTATTTTCGTTCGTAGCTTGTATGATTTTTCCATACTAGACATTGTGTACTTAAACTAGTGTCTTATATAACATATCATTTCATTACAGTAGTAAACTTGTAGTCTATAATATTGATATTTATTATAAATGTAATAGGAACTTACAAAGTTAATTATGCTGGTAAATTGATTCATCAAATATAAATACAAGTAAAATAATATAAACATAATATTTTAAAATGCAAAGTCTTAAACGAGTACCTATAATAGAAATTAAATTGTTTGATTGTTTTATATTATTAATATACTATATAATATATTGGATTTAAGTTTTATATTAGAAATCATAGCAAAAAACCTATACAGCTATAACAGGTAGATATTTAGTTTTTTTTTATATTTTGTGAAAATAGCAAGAGTCTTGCAAGAGTCTTGCGGAAGACCAAGACTGAGTTTGCAAGATTAAGACCAAGACCAAGACTGGGTCTGCAATACCAAGACCAAGATTTTGAAAGTTTTGGTCTTGGTCTTGTTTTGATCATCACTATTTATTGTGTATGAATATAAATTTTTATTATGAAATAATCATAAACTGATTACAAAATCGCTCTAAAAGTAAAAATAAAAGGAGGGCATGGTACGGGACCGACCTTAGTACACAGATTTCTACGTGCGGTATATTTGCGCGTTAACACTCTCGCGCGATACGAGACGTTCAAAACCGTTATTGTCCCTCAAACAATAAAGTATAAAGCGCACGCAAACTACCTCATAACATTATACATACGTCCTCGTCCCTCACGCGTTAATCGTTGCGGCTATATCTTTATTTTTTTTTTTTTTTTCCGCCCGTCATATTCTCACCGCACGAAAACATCGCGTAATTTGCCCGCATACACACGGCGGTGTACATACGTATATTATTGTATTACGCACTCGCGCCGCACAAAAGGGGTGCCCCGGTCCAATCCCCCGGGCTAGAGTCGAACGGTTTAGTGGCCCCATGTGCGCACGCCGAGATTTCCGCGGTAACTATCTATCTATACGCATAAACCGTACGTGAAACGCACACACGCACGCGCACAATATATAACACGTACACGTATACGTATACGCACTTATACGCGCACGTCGGCGGTGATAATACAGTCCACCGCTGTTTTTGTTGCCGTCCGCCAGTCAGTCAGTCAGCAGATAAAAATGGCGTTTCGACTCTCTATTATTGTGTTGTGCGCGCGATGCGAGAGGATAAAGTTACCCCTGGGCACTGTTACGTGTGTACACAGGCCGTGCGCGCCCATCGCGGATAGCGAGAGAGGGACATACTGGCTCGGGGGAAAAAAAAAATAATATATATATGTGTAGACGGAGAGAGCGATGAAAGAGGCGACGTTCATAACGTGTGCAAAGCCCGTACATCCCCTCCCATCGACGACCCTGCGTACATAATAGGGAAGACAGCTGGGGGTGTGTGTGTGTGTGTGTGTGTGTGTGTGTGTGTGTGTGTGTGAACTCGATAATCTCTTTTTCTATACGCGCACGCAGCACCGACGGCGACGCGGGGACGAGCATATGTCACTAGCACGCCCTTCGCGCGAGCGGATTACGTTATGGAGGAGAGCGGCGAAATATTTAGCCGTAATTGACGGCGGATTTTCGAACGAGTGGGCCGGTTCCGCGGGGACGCCGGTCCACGGCCGCGGCGCGCGTACGGGGCGAACGAGCCGAACGAAACGAGAGGTCGCGCGCGAAAAAAACGTCCGGTCGCCGATCCGACTGGTGGTCGACACGACAACATCATACGTTGCGATTTACGCGCGAGCGTTCCGTTTACGATCGATAGATCGCGGAGACGCGGACGGCAGCTATGGTGCGCGTCTAATTTAGAACCCAATCGGTTAGTACACGAGATGAGTTTTCCGTTCATAGAAAACAATACGTACGGTTCGCGATTTGAAAATACTTACATGTCGAATATTGCATGGACAAACCATACGATTCCGCGCGCTAGGTTCAAAAATAAAATATTACGGTTTTAACCATGTGAGTATATCCATACGGATACCGATCATGAAAGTGTTAACATCTTTATTACGTGGACGCATATACGAGTACAATTTGGTTATTACCGGATCGATTTCTTAATCCAACAAATAATTAAATTGCATTTGATTTCTTACATTTCAATATGGGTAAAGGTAGAGATAAGTTTAAAATAAGTATTCCTTCTTGATATACCTAGGATCACTTTTCGTAATTCATAAGTCTCTTATTTGCATCTCATGGCATTATTTATTAATTATTTCTTATATAGAATACTTTTTACAACTTAATAATTTAATGTCT